TTAATCTATTCATACCCGAGTTTTTGAAATTAGAATTTAAAATTTGTATATATACAATACATGGTATTTCCATTTCTTGCTAACTTTTAAGAATGGTACTCAAAACATTACTTATTTTTAAAAATTTTAATAGTGCAACATCTAGTTTTTCTCGTCTTTAATTCTGCAGTGTAATATCGTTTCAAGCATTTTGCTATGCTATCATTGTTGAGTCGACTTGTCCGGTTTACACGACGATTTAGTACTCTGGAAAATAAATATAAAGATTTATTAATAAATGGGTTACACTAAAGATGTTACGAATTGGCCAGTTAGAGACATTGCTAATGTATTTTTTTTTTATTTCAGGTTTAGAAGTCTTTAGTAACAAAAAGTATATTGTATAATAAGTACATTCATATGTCCTATGTTTTTGTGGATTGGCAAGAAATCTAAAACTCTTGTTGAACCTTACTGAAAAATAATTTTCGGTAACAGATTTATAAAGACTTTCGTTGTAGACTTAGTCAACAACAAAGCTATGATTGCAATGCAAATTGATAAACCCAGAATAGTATCAATTAATATATTTATGCTATAATAGTCTTAATTATTATATAACCTTGATAAGATTGCATTTACCATATTTTTTCCTTTTATATAATTATAATATAATATTGACTTGATAAATTTCTTTTAGAAAGAGAATTTAATTTTTTAATCCCATATTTCTATGTATGTACATATAAGTGTTATATCAATATTTCTATTGTTCTAATGTAGATATGTAGTTTGGTGTAAATGTATCAAAACAAGTCAGAGTTCAAGTAAATTATAAGTTTATTGTAGAATTCAAAATATGATTTTCTATATTAAAGATAAGTAATGAACTATCTACCAAATTCTTTTTTTATTTGCATTACCTATCATTTTGAGGTTTCTCACCCCACTAAGCTTTACTGAGAAGAAACCTGACTACGCAAAAACAATATTGGATTCAATAAGAATATTATACGGATATTGTCTTACATTTACGATTCTTAGAAATCCTTTAATTTACCAAAGCATATTACCTAAAGGTCAAAATATCTGGACACAGCATGATTCGTAACCTTTTATCAAATTTAAGATATAAACCTGTAACATTCTCCAAAAAAAAGATACACTAGAATTTTTAAAACTTATTTAGCCTTCAACTTTATTTTTACAATTTCACATGAATCAATTATTAAGAAATATTATTCTTATTCAACCAAAATGATATTTTTAATGACATAATTTTATAAACATATGTGAATTAGGATTTTAATCATATGATTTTCATAATATTAGAATTTATTACAAGAAAACAGTGTGAGATCTCCCTTCATTTATCTTCTCAAGAGATAATTGAATAGCAGAAAAGAGTTTTGACTGTACTTTTTACAATTTAGACGTTTTCGAGAAAAGAGTTATAATCTTAGACTTCTTATCCTTAGTACACCCTTTCATAACATTCAATTTATAATGACAATTTTTAGCTTTTATAGTATAAAACAAATTTCTAAATGTCTCTTATTAATGATGTCAATCTAGAACAGTATTTTTGAAATCCTCATCATAGAAGCTACTACAATACTATTTTCTTTTGAGAGTCAAATATCCCAATTTTTATTGAAAATCATTCTCAATTATAGTTCTCTCCGATATTATCAAAGCTTTTAAATATTTAATCGACATGTGACAGTTCCTGTAGCAATTTAGGATAAGTAATAAGATTGTCATTTGAGCAATAATAATAAAAAGAGGTTTTCATTTGAACAGTAATTTTTAAAACTTTTGCTTATAAAATATTTAAAACACTTTAGATCTGATTAAGTTTGATGAAAATTTAGTTTGAGATTTTATTATGCTGTTATAGAAGTGCATAAAATGTCTAGAACGTACAAAAATTCTGCAAATCATGACAACCGCATATAAAAAATCGTTTTATTGCACTTCATATCCAGTTATTTTTTCTAAATTTACATTAATTATTTTTTTCAAATGAGTGAGGAAAATTTTGTATATAGATAACATATTATAATTTGGAAACAAGCATTATAAAGTCTATTTATAAGTCAATATGCAAGTTATGCATTATTCAGTTTCATCAAACTAAAGCAGCTTCAGCATACTATTGCAATAGCAATGCGTTCTAGAGGTATATGTTTTTTATCAAATGAATTGTTGAACAAATAGACTCCCAGGATCCATATACATATATACATATGTACCTAAACATAAGGTTATGTTTAAAATTATAACTAATTCTTGCAGACAACTATTAGAAAAATCAACTGCTTTGAACAAGTTCTTTTATATTATTCTTGATAATAAATTTTAAAAGGAAATGTTTTTCTTAAGCACTAATATTTAAAAGGTCTGTCAGGCTTATTTAAGTCCAGAACACAAAACAAGATATAATATTATCTCTGTGTATTAAAAGAATGTGTATAATTAATAAATAAAAAGGCTTGGTTTACTTCTAAATTTAAAAAAAATATTCTATTTTCAAACATTGTCTAAACTCTTATAAATTTAAAAAATAACTAGTTAATTGTCCCAAAAAAGTCAAGCGAATTAGTTTCACATATTTTTATCTAGCTGAATTCTCGTATAGTGTACTATAATCACTGAAATGTTTTAATTTAAGAGTTTGAACATTGTCATTGTATTACTTTTATTTTATATATTAACTAACTTTTTCCCACGACTCCGTCCTCATGAACATCACTGTTGTTCTCTGTCTCTACAGACACTGAACCCGAATTGCACTTCATTGTTCCGTTTTTGGGATCCGGTTTGGTTTAGGATTTGATTCTGGATCAATAAAAAATTTTGCCTTTATCTTTCTTTGTCTTCCTGGGTTCCATCTATATCTGTAACAAAATTCACCAAAAATTATTCAGTGGTTTAGACATGGAAACGTAACAGACAAACGGACAGTTACTCTCTCATTTGTATTATTAATACTAGAAGACGCGGCGAACTTCGTATCGCTCTATGATCAAGAAATATCTGTTACGTTTTTTTATAAATAAATTAAGGTTATTATACCTTAGCCTCAGAAACACGTAGTGGTTACACTATTATTAAATAGTCGCTCATATAAGACGTCTGTATTTTTAACATAGCGCCATCTATTGAATACTTAACTCAGTCAACAGGTAATTGTAATAATGACCAATAATTTTCTTTAATAGACAAATAATTTGCAATAAAAAATATTGTGACTATAAATTGAGATGTAAGCTATCCTATCTTTCAAGTTGGATCAAAATGCACTCGGAATGCAAATCAAATATAAAATCGGTTTAGTAGTTTAGGAGTCCATCGCGGACCAACATGTGACACGAAATTTTTATATGTATAAAAGATTGATACTATTCTAATTAATATTGATAGTATTCTAAGATCTTAATTGAAATTAAGTAATTTGATGATATAAATAAGAATTTTGTGCAATTGTCAAAATACTAAAGATTAATATTAGGTGTACTATGTGGATAAAACACTTTCACAAATAATCCATTATTAATTACCAATTCTAAGCATTTTATACTCGTGATAACTGAACGAAGTCCAGTCTAATAAAATAAAAGGATATTTATTACTTTTCATAAATTTCCTTAATAACTTAATAATTAGCATAGGTTTAATATTACGTTAAACATTTAACTTAGTTTCTTTCTTCATACGATTTAATATTTTCTTTTTAATACAAAAGCGAATGCTGTGCCTAATCTATGATTAATGCTCTTGCGGACATGTTTTTTGATCTCTATGAGACCCACTAATTCGTAATACATTATTTTGTTCAATGTCAAGTGTTGGCGTTACATACATATTTATCTATCTTACCTATTTAGGTTTTCTATTTCACATCTTGCATTATAAAGTAGTTTTTGTTTTTACGGAACTTAAATTATTTTAATAATAAAATATGAATAATTTATAGCCTTTCTCAATAAATGGACTTTGCAAGAATTGTAGCATTTTTGAAATAGTGGTAAGTAATATGTGTTTTCTAAGGTTAGTGCGTTCAAACAAACAAACAAATAAATACACAAAACAAACTCTGCCGTATTATAATATTAATATAAATTGGAAAAAAAGACTTATTAAAAAAATTGGCATAATATGAAAATATGTTATCCTTATATTTATTATACAGGGTGACTGGTGAATTACAATCAATATTTAAGGAGCATACTCGGTATATGATTCTCATTCGAATTATGTAAAAAAAATAGGCACTTAATTTTTGACAAAATTTCCGTATAAATAAGTAAAGTGTTGACACGTTCCAAGTGTTCAAGTGTGGACGCGCGCGGCGACGTGTTGATACAACACCACGTCACGACATGCGTATGTGTGAGTGTCAGTGTATACCTAATCTGTAGGGTGTTCATACGATGCGTAATTAATTACATAACTTTTGGTTAACTTTACTTAGAAGTTTATTAATATTTATGTTATATTAATTTTTATTTTGTCATATATGATCGTCAAATATCACGTCCTCAAATATCGATAGTAATTCACCAGTCACCCTGTATAACTTTTATTTTAATTATATAATTGCAATTAAAATTCTAACGTCAATTTAACAATTATATTAATATGCAACACTCTGCTTATGAATGATAAAGATTTTGATAGCATTTCATATTTCATATTTCCATTCCCGATGCATGAATTAACACGTCTTAAATACGACCATCTTATTCTCTTAAACAGTTATAGTTTTAGGCGTTTCTCAAAAGTAGTATGTTTTTGATAAAAAGTAAAGGGTGCAGTGTAACATACTTGTGCGTGAAATGCAAAACGAATTAACAAAAGCTATGCGATAATTGGAATTTATCTACGCGCGTCCATATTAAATTTGTCAAGTAGTCAAATAAATAAATTTTAACTAAATTTTAAGTGAAGAGTTATTAAAATTATTCCTAGATTTAATCATATGTAACGAAGAATATGCCTCTACTGAAATTTGAATATTAAAGTAAAAGTTTTTGTATATGCATGTCTGAATTAGAAACAAAAACAAAGAACATTAAACAAAGAAACATTAGAATTCGATTTCAGTTAAGTCTCGTTGTGGCAAAAATATGGGAGATAATATATGGGAGATAATAAAATAAGCCGTTCTTTAGTTATGAATAGTAACACAACTTTTTATATATGCTAGTATATAACTAGCTTTCCACCCGCAGCTTCGCCCGCGTGGACTTCGGTTATATCGCGTTTCCAAGAGAACCTTTCAAAAGTCTGGCATAAAAACTATCCTATGTTCTTTCTCAAGGTCAGCTCCATCTCTGTACCAAATTTCCTTAAAATCAGTTCAGTGGTTTAGGCGTGAAAGCGTAACAGACAGACAGACAGAGTTACTTTCGCATTTATAATATTAGTAGGGATACAGACGTAACTTACTTCTCGGTACGCTCTTGAGGGTTGATTTTAATATGCTGTCACTGTCTTCTGACTCGGAGCAAACTTGAAAACTCGTTTCTGTAAAAATATATAAAAACTAAAATAAGTTCAATGGTGAAAGTGAATTTTACCCACTTATACAAGTTCAACTATTGACGGAAACATTAAGAAATGCCGACGTTTTGATTATAACTCTAATTTACGTTTTTTGAATGCAAAAAGTTCACAAAAGAGATGTTCTGTTTTTAATCTTTACGTATCATATTTTTTTTTATAATGGTATATACGAAATTTAACAAATATAAGTATGAATTTTTTTGTTGAACCATTTTATTATACTGTAGTAGTTGTAACGTATATTTTAAATTGATTGGTTTCATAAATATTAATAAGTGGTACATTCATTATATTAATTTGTTATTATATTTTATCTTGTTTCGTTGTCCTCACTACCTGTATCTGTATATTTGATGTGTCTCGGCACGTCACTGTTTTCAGCGTGACCAAACGTTCGAAAGCCGACAGCGAATTGCGCGTAAGGACTTATCTCGTATAACTCTGAAATAATATAGCTATAGTTTAGGACAAAATAATTAAAATACATACTTAAATATAGAGATAGAAAGAATCGTTTGAATGTTTCAAATAAAAGTGTTGAATTCTAGAGTTTTCGTTGCAAAAGAAATCCGTCTTAGAACTTGGTCGTACAAATATTATTTTTTCATTACGCTAATATATCAGTATAGGTCCACAGTAAACATCTTACATTGAATATAAAAAAAAACAAATGCAACATTTATTATCAAATCTTTTTATAAAAAAATCCATATTTATGATATTTGTATTAATTATTTATAATATTACTCACCATGTTTACTATTATTTCTAACATGTATCGGAGCGCTGTATATTCTGTTCTGAGCGTTCATTGAATTCTCTTTAACATTCGCTAGGTTACTTTGTGATGTGTTAGCTGTTATGTTGCCACTTTCAGATTTGTCGACCGTTATTAAGTCGCGGTATCCCGTTAAGTTGACATTACTGAAAAACATATTCGATTAAGTTTCAAACTATCAACTCCTTTATACGTTACTTGGGTTATTCGCTCTGGTTACTTCATGTTTGTAGATACAGATATACATACTGCTTACGGTTTTAAAGTAAAACTCCTTTACGCACGCTTGACTTGGGAGTAAGCTGGTGAATGCGTTACGAAAGGGTTACGAAAAGTGTGATCGAACGAGGCGAACGACAGTGAGAGGGAGATGTAAGTAAGTGAAGATAGACAGATAGAGTGTGTTACGGTTGTATATTATTGTAGGGCCAAGGAAAAGAGCCGTGCGTGCGCACATTTTCTTTCTCGCTTAATTTCATAGCTAGTGCATGAAATTATATGTATATACTTTTTACTTTGAAGTAAAAACTTTATTAAAAATGCTTAAATTCAGTTAGATTCTTGGACATGTAAGACTTACCGTTGCCTCTTAACTAGAATATAAGCACAGCAGATAAGACAGACGGCTAGGAGAATTGAGCTTAAGACTATCACCAACATGTTGATGTCGAAGATTTCCGACGGAGGACCAACTTCACCTGTAAAATAATAAAAAGGGTCATTAAATAAAAAATTTGGAACTATTTTTTGTGTCTCTCTAAAATCATGACTTTCAATTTTTAGACTCAAACATACGATATGTTTTATTCTATACAATCCCTTCTAATATTATAAATGCGAAAGTAACTCTGTCTGTCTGTCTGTTACGTTTTCACGCCTAAGCCACTGAACTGATTTTAATGAAATTTGGTACACAGATAGAGTTGACCTTGAGAAAGAACATAGGATAGTTTTTTACCCAGACCTTTGAAAAGTTCTCTTGAAAACGCGATATAACCAAACTCCACGCGGGCGAAAATTGTTATATAATAAGTAACGCTCACTTTGATTCACTAAAGTACCCATAAATTATTTTTATAAAGATCTGTAGTCTTGTATCGAGTCTTTTTATTGCTCGTGAACATTTGTAACAGTCAGAGCTCTATAAATTCGGTATCGTGAGTCATTTTATAATCAAATTGTTACATTCTGTGAGGTATCAATCATCGTTGTATTTTAGTATCACACTAAAAACCTTTAGAAATTTGTAAGAACTATTAAATTGTTCGTTTGTAATTAGTATTTTTTTAAGTTATTCATTGTTCTGAACGTAATAATACAGTTATATCACACATTAAATTGCTAACTCACTGCCATCCTCGTTCTTAGTCGCGTAGTTGTAAACGGTGGTGACGCTCCCCGCCTCGTTGCTGGCTGTAACGTAACACGTACCAGGTGCCGGCGGACAGTCCTGATACAGCGAACGAGCCTCGGTACTGGTAGGGGTGACCCGTGTATGACTGACGAGGAAACATTGGGAATATAGTGTTGTAGCAGGGAATATATGTTAGATGAGGCAATAAATAAATAGTTTTGTGTATAGGCAAAATAGTTTCGTAGGAATATTGTATAGGTCATGATGGTATATTTGATTGAAAAGTGAGTAAAGAAAAAATTAAGTTTAAACGTAAATATAAATATTAATTGAAATAAGTTATTTTTAAAATTAGCCATCATATGTGACGTTTTTGTCAGACACGTATGAATAAACAAGTGAGATATTGGCTTAAAAATAATTCATTTTTTTTGTTAATCCTTCACTAATTTGCTACTTCTACGATTATAATAAAATTATTCACGCATATCATCACAGGTGTATAGTTTTATATATCCATAATTTATATTGCAAAGGTTATATAATGTCCAAGTTATTAAAAGAAAGAAATAGCATTACACCATTGTCACGGGCAAATAATTGCTATAAATTGCAGTTTTTGTACAGTTAATATTCCTTATATTCTTTATTATTCAAAGCACAACTAAGTACATCCATAAATTTTAAGAATCTTATATCAAAACACATTTCTATTAAATCGCTATAATGAGCGCTCGTTTTCTATCAAACGTCATTTATATAAATCATTTTAATACTAGTATGTTACATTACCAATATATTGATAGGCCTCATCCAGCTCCTCGCTCCAAGAGCCCGGTGTTCTAGCTCCAACGTTCGGAGCTCACATCCCGCGTCATCCCAACCAGCGGCCTGAATGAACACGTGGGAACAGTTGCTCCAGAACCACTCCGTTGACGTAGGAGCGATGGGAGCTAAAAGATTAAGATACGAATATTAATGTAGCGTCCTCGACCTATCAGAGACCACTGCTGAGCAAGGCATCTTATTAAAGGAAAGTACCTACATATGACTCGAAAAAAATCACATTGGTACTTGCCAAGATCGAACCCGTGCCCTATACGAGAGATGGGCCTTTAAGCACTAGGCCACCAATGACTTATAATTGTATGGTTATTAGTATTATAGCAAAAAAAAGGATGATTAAAATATGACCACATTTTGCAAGAAATATCGAGTGATTATATGTAATGTGATTAAATGTTTGATGAAATTATACATAATATGAGAATATATGTGTATATGGAAATCGACGTCATGTATGTATTAAGTATGCTTACGTCCGCCCAACGTGCTAACATCCAAATACGCTGGTTGTGATGTACCAACTTTGTTAGTAGCTGTGATCCTCAAAGAATATTTCGTGCCACATTTAAGACCAGTCAGCGCATGTTTTTGAACTCCAGAGAGGTTTGATAATTTATTAGGTACTTTGTTTGGTGACCACACTTCTTGCCACGGACCGCTTGCTTCTTTCCATGTTAGACTATAAGCTGAAAAATGTAGGATTAGATAATGACTATCATTGTCAATTATTTGTCCATTTTATTATTATATTAAACAGGAAAAAATAACAGCTAACATTCTTATTATTTCGCGTATAGTACGATAGTCGAGGCAAGTTTATTTTTGAATCTTTTTCAGTTATATCTACGAGTACTTTCATAGACTTAGAAGTTCAATTATTGAGTTGGATGCTAAAATTTAAATTCTTTTATCAACACATATTTAATTTCATTTCCATACTTCACAGACATGAATATATCGCTATTTTATCCTATAGTGATTCTTAAATCCCTACTAATAAGTAATATTATAAATGCGAAAGTAACTCTGTCTGTCTGTATATCTGTTACGCTTTCACGCGTAAACCACAAAACTGATTTTAATGAAATTTGGTACAGAGATAGAGTTGATCTTGAGAAGGAACATAGGATAGTTTTTATCCCAGACTTTTGGAAGGTTCTCTTGGAAACGCGATATACCGAACTCCACGCGGGCGTAGCTGCGGGCGAAAAGCTAGTGTATTCACAAACCAACTTACTAATTTTCTGGTTCGAGCTACGGTTACTGATGCTATTATAAGGTTGTTCCCATTCAACTAATATCGAGTCTTTGTATGGCGTGGCTCGTAGTGTTGGTGCTTCGGGCAGCGGTAGAACTACTACGGTGTACTCCACTGAATCAGAACCATACAGATTCTTTGCAAGACATGTGTAGTTGCCGCTCAGGGATTGGTCGATGTCTGGAAATCATAACAAAAAAATATTAATTAATTACAAAATACATGAACTGAATACAGGTTTTTGGGTGCCCATTAAGTAATACAAGTCTAAGTATAATATATGTAGATACAATGATATTTAATTCCGTATACAAGAATGTTCGACAAGCGATAATCAAGTTACCTAAAGGTGTTGTGTTTTGAAGTATGTTGTTATCCCAAAAAATATAGGAATTTTGGAAGGTTTGAGATTGAATTAAATGTACGGAAAATTCGCTTTGTTTGGTTTTAACTTCAAAAGCACTTCATTAATTAATCGTCATTACTCTATCAAACAATAAATGGGTCTAAAAATATAAAATTATTTGTATAATCTTCTATACACCACTTACTGTTAATCAGCAAGCTGTCGTCATGATTCCTCGTGAATCTCGGATGATGCGTTATTATATTATGTTTGTGGTACCACACAGTGCGAGGTGGTGGTACTCCGACACATTGACACACGAGTAGTAAGGATGAACTGACTCCCACTGATATGGTGCCACCTAATGATGCGACTCCGGCCACAACTGGGAACAAATAATAGTAAGAGAAATTCAGAACATTCCACAACTAATGACATCTAAGATTTTCGCGTATATTCATTTAAATAATGAATGAACATTATTCCTGTATTCATTTATTATTTAAATATTAAAAGGGTAACCATTGTAGTAATATACCTAAAGAAGTAATGTAAGACGTGCCTTAGGATTTTTTGTTTAAAAATAGTAAAATTTTTGAATTTTTACACATTCCTTTCGACAATTTTTCGATATCTATATACCTATCTTGATTATGGTTATACTTACATATGTACATACTGTCCAAAAGTTTGCAAACACACCTATCTTTAAAACAAATGAATGCCGAGTAATAGCGGTAACAATAATCTCAAGTTTTACAACTATTACGACTGTTTACACAAACGCAAAAAGGATTATTATACCACATATATCATATTTAACGAATTCCTTAATTTTGACGAAACCGGTTTTTTATGGCTTAATCTGTCACCAACTTAATTTAGGAAAAGATGTGGTTTTATTAGTATTGGGTCGTTTTAACGTCTTCATACTCTATATAGTCGCCCGTGAATATTAGCACGTGAAAGTTGTGATATTAACATTGTCTATATTCGAAATATATCAGCTACTGCTCTGATCGTATATTTTCTTTTGAAAATGGCAAAACCCAAGCAAATAACACTTGAAAACGAAGCGCTATTTGCACTAAACGAGTAAGGATAGAGTGAACGTATATATTATATACATCGGTATATGTGTACCTCTATTAGCGGGTGTATGCGAGGCTCTCCTACTAGGCGCGCCCTCGCCAGCCGCGGTACTTCCAGTCACCCACACTTCATACGATCTTCCGCTCGATCCACACGACTCGTTAGAGGTGGACCAGGGCTGTGCAAAAGTTTGACTTTAAAATAATAATTACCTTGACGAAGGAGAAAACAAGATAAACTGTACATGAATTTACAGTTTTTCTTTTCGAAACCGGTTACAATGTAAACTTTTAATAATATATACGGTGTGATTATTTTAAAACTTTGAAGGGTAATAGACTATTTCACTGCTAGTTCAGTAATAGGATCTTAATCTCATATTTTATCTATAGGTAGTATATGACAGTCGATTGAAATATGTAATTAATAACATTGTTAGCAACTTTTGGTAACACTCAACAAGTTGTTAATCAATACGAACAATGAAGGTGGCACTTCACTTGGCGTTTATTTATAATGTTCGGTTAAATAAGACCATGTGAATGTAATGTGTGGATCATTCGTCTTCATTTGACATATTTGCACAAATAAGACACATACACTAATAAGTGAAAACGCGTAACGACGTGTTGTTGGCATGCCAAGTGTGGATGTCGTGTTTGCGCTATTTGGACTACGTACAAATATTTGGACAAATGCGGCGAATACGCAACGCCAAGTGAAGTAGCATCTTAAGACTAATTAAAGTATTTATGTATTTAAGCAGTAAATTTACCCTGAAGTTGGTTTCGCATAAACAGTATAATATAATAGTTCTCCGTTACAATGTTCCGGCTTCTTCCAACTGACCAACAGTGATGTAGATGATAGAATAAGAACTTTGATATCTGAAGGTGGATCAGGAACTGAAATATACAAGTTGCTCATTATATTATATATTTATTTCCCTGAATATTGGAATAAATATTTAAAGCAACAAATGGGTATTTCTCAAAAAATGTCGAAATTGTAGTCCTGGGTCTTTGCTGCTAAGTCAGATGATTTAATTATGGTTATATTTTTTTCATTTCAATTTATGCTATCCTATACTACTGTCGCTGATAAAGAAAACGTGACATTATAAATAAAAAAATAAATATAAGCAGCAGCAACACCGAAAATCATTCCCTCATCTTGTCCCTTACTCCAAAATCCTTTACTAAAAAGTCTGTTCGTCACGAATGAAACAATATACTACTGTGGACAAAATAATGGAAGACGATGGTTTAATAATAAACCTTTTATAGCTACATTTTACATTTCTGCAAAAAAAACCTTTAAATGTACAAAACATTTTTTTACAATATACCTATTTACGTAATCGCGGTTGCTGAAAAGTAATCGAAACATCGAGGATAAACCTACAGTTTTTAAAATAATAAAATACGCGTTGTGATCCAAATAATATTAGTTTCATAAAATTTTTATGTGAAGCTGACTAAGATAAATGTTTGTTTTTGTCCTGGATTATACTCATGATTTACTCCTTACACTATAGACCATTCTTAACGGATCCTTTAAAACGACGTCTATATTTTATGGGGATCTTTATAGGTCAAATGTACTTAGTCAATGTATATGAAATTATAATTATATTGAAATTAATTAGATAAATGAAGCACTATAAATTGTTACACACATTTTATAATATTTGTAGGAAGTAGAATGGATAGAATTTTAAGAATTTAGAAGAAATTTAAGATTTTCGTGTGTTCACATTTATAATGAAACTATGTTTTTTGAATAAACTACGCTCTCGATTACTTTTTCAAGTTTATTTGATTTCATGACGAGAACCACATTATTTATAAAATTATCATGTCATATTATGTAGTTATTGGGTTATTCACATAAAACAAATAGTCGTTATTATCTTAACATCTTGTAACGTAGTGCAAACTATTGGGAACGAGAACGGCCCAGCACCGTAGTTGGAAAAACCTGCAACTTTTATCGTATAGTTGCTGTACTTAGAAAGACCTTGGAAATAAATTTCAGTGTGGAGAGAGGTTTGGTTCTGCCAAGAGCTTTCTGGAAAAGGAAAATCTTAGATAAATATAAATAATAATTTAAAAATTCGAAAGGAATATTACGAACACATTACTAATTTTAAGAAAAAATACATAATTTGTTCATACTAATTTAAAGCCTCTTATTTTGCTGTAAAGTCTGATTCCAATCGTGATAACCTTCAGTTCCATACAGAATGGAGTAACCAATCAAAGAACTTCCCTGTTCGTGTATCGCTATTGGTTGCTAACCGATGCGTAGTGACGTAGATGACACAGCCGTACATTCAACTGATGATGGGGCGATTTCGGGAGCTGCAACAGGTATTATTATAGCTAAATATTTACTTTAATATCCCTTAAATTTATTTAATGTTTAAATTTTTATATAAAAGAAAAACGTGTTAGGTACATTATTTATAACTCAAGAACGGCTGTACGGATTTGGACAAAAATTTGGGGAGGAATAGCTCAAAAGAGAAAAGTTGATTTAATCCAAAACCTTCTTATCTACAGTCTTTATTGCAAAAATAGAGTTCGCCCGGTTTCATACATTTCTAATTCCTGAACTAACGCAGACGAAGTCGCGGGCGAAAACTAGTAAGTAATAAACAAAGAAAATTCCTCGAGATGATGATGTTTTGGTGAAACAGACAGACTAACTGATATATCAAATGGAGCAAAACCGTAATTATTAAGTATATCTTTGTAATGATAAGGTAAAGATTTTTGATTTTACCTCCTTCCATAGTATCTTGAAATACTGGAATCGAAAATGGACCTGATCCGGCGCTGTTGAAAGCTGATACGGAAACAGCATATCTGAAAAATAAAACTTTAAGGTAAGTATCAGTAGACTCTTTTCATTCAGTCATTCTATTTGTCAGACATTTAGCAGTTTAAATGAGAGTTACTTCGAGATTCTGAATATTAGAGTAGTATTGACATATAATTGATTGTCTTTATCTTAATCTATAAAATGTACTCCCTTAATATTACAAATTAAAGTTCCTCCAACACCAAATAGTAAAAATGATTAGTAATGAAAATTTCCCATCTACCTGGTATTTTTGAGTAGACCACTGATAACTGTTTCTTGTTTTCCGGATAACTTTGACACTTTCAAAGTCCTTGTATCAGTGTCTGCTAAAACTAAAAAAAAAGTATTAATTTCAATAAATTTGCATTTCCAACATTGCATAATTAATGAGATCTATGATTTTCGCGAGTACTCATTTAAATGACACTAATATTTTCGGATTTTACTTCGGACTCACATCTCGTCTGCCCGTGATCACGGTTGCTGAAAAGTAGCCGAAACGTCGGGATTATGTAGTTTATAATCAAAAATAAATAGGCGAAGTAGAGTTCGAAAATATTAGTTTCATTTAAATTGCATAACTAAGTTGAGGAGTTCTTAGGAGAACTTACTAGATGATCCTTTTTGTGGCACAGCCTTTACAATATGATAGCCTGTTATGATTCCATTATGAGTGTCTTTAGGCGGAGGTAGCCAGGAGACGAATAGTTCTCCAGGATTGTCAGTTTGTTCAATTTGTATATTAATAGGTGTTGACGGATGAGCTGTAAATTGAGTTAAAATTATTGTTTATTTTAACATTAAAAGAATGTTGATTTAATTGTATATTACATGTAATTAATATAACTAAAAATATATATCGAAGGTTCTAAGTTAACATCAAGATTGTGTCATTAAATTTAAAAAATTTAATTTGTGATGGAATTCATGTAATTCGAGGTTTTGTTATAAATGGGTTGTTAAAGGAAATACTTGTCTTCAACTGAAATTAACATGCTAGTGATAACTTCTTATGGGAGGATAAACCGCTTCATAATATTACTAAAAAAGTTATATTATAAGATTTAAGTAATAACCTACACAATTTATATACAAAATTTATGTATTAAATAGTTTAAATTATAACTTTTGTTGAGCGTCCCGAGGCGCACAAATGTTTTATTTTTACGAAGATCAGACGTTTTGAATGTTACTCGTTAAATTAAAAGTGTTATTGGTATATTGCATAAAATACATTTTAAATTTAGCAGTTTAAATAGTAAATTAAATTTAAAATTAAAATAATAACTACCTTCCTCGTGTGTTGTAAAATGTACAGGCGCCGTAAAACGACTGACACCCACTTCATTACCAGTTGCTACTAGCACCGCGTAAGCCGTCGCAGGTCGGATATTCTGTAGTTCTATCGTTTGACGAATGTCGTTGCCTTTCCTTGTATATTTTTCCAAAAATACATAGGTATTATATATACATAATATATATTATTTTTCTAGTATTAATAACACAGCACAACAAAATCAAACTTTTTTTTTGTTGCATGAAGTTTTTCTACTGTTGTTTACTAATTTGGGTGCGCTAATTCTAAATCTGACCTCAGTTTTTTTGTAGCAGCTCTAGTTAGTCAGATACAGGTCCGTCTTGAATTTACATAAGTTGTCAATAGTTTCTACCAATAGCGGTGTAACTTAACTAGTCCCTTTATAAATTTCATTATGTCTTTCTCAAGAGAGACATGTTTAAATACTCCTGAGTGTTTTGTGCTATTTGCGGATAATATATGTTCCAAAAATGTCGTTTAAGTGTGTCAGACTTTGTAAAAAAGGCATACTTAGACTACTTTGGGTTTCCATTGCCATCAAACGCTAAACCTTTGATACCAATTTTGGTGTGTAAAAGTTGTGTTGAATCTTTGTGATTATAGGCAAACAAAAAAAGACCAAATTTTAACTACAAATCTCCACTGATGTGGCGTGAACCACCCAACCATCATGACGACTTTTATTTTTGTGTAACCAAAATCATAGGAATAAACCATAAAAATTGCTCTAAGTGGATATATACAAACTAAATATTTGTCATAAGACCAGTCTTGAGTATTAGTGATACATCAACATCACAGCAGCCATGTGGATCTTCGGAAATCCAGACCAGTGCAGCGGACAAACCGAAACGACGACAGTGGTAGAGACAATAGTCCCCGATTACTAAATAAAGATGATCTAAATGACTTGATCAGGGACCTTGGCCTGTTTAAAAGTTGATAGATGATAAAAATTTCATCAACCATATGACAGCTGTTGAGAAATGTGCATGGGAAGAGTTTGTTTGAGTAGTGAGAAATTTTTTGAGAATACTAAGTCTGACGGCTACATTCAGCACGTTGAACAGTTGCTGATACACTTCCAGCGGCTTGGATGCAACATGAGTATTAAGCTTCACTATCTTCACAGCCATCTAGACTATTTTCCTGAAAATCTCGGTGACCTAAGCGAGGAACAAGGAGAGCGCTTTCAACAGGATATTCGCGCTATGGAGAGCAGGTATCAGGGGTACTGGAAGGAATATATGATGACTGATTATTGTTGGAGCATTCAAAATAGTACTCTCCCTCCAGAAAATCCACAAAAAGGAAATTTTATTCAGAATAAATATATTTAATAATTTTTTTAAACTTAAATTTTGTGCAATTTAATGAAAAACCCTGTCTCTTCATAACTCCAAAACTAGAGCTGCTACGTAAAAACGGTATATATTTTTGAAATAAGCGTGGAAAAACCATTCAGATTCATGTGAAAAATCTCATGCAACAGACATGCTGTTTTCCAGTGTAATCAAAAATTTATAACTTAATTTAATAATCGAAATTTGGCAGAAAGCCTTCAAAAGGTAATATTTTTTTTGTAAAGATAACAATCTACCCTACCTAAATACAATAATATATTTTAATAAAAAATATTTTTTTTTCTCATTATTAATTAGATGTCATTAATACAACTTATAATTCAAGTATTCTTTATACGATCATTTTCAAGTTTTTATTCCATATTCCTTTCATTATATATTAGTATAGCACCTACCTCGTAATATTAAGACTAACGGCGTATTCCCAGTCATCGGCGTAATGAGCGGGCGTGTGTTGTAATGTGTAATACTCGGCGTGTGCCCCGTCTCTCCATGAAACTGATGCTGTACGAGATCTAACTGATTCTACTCTGAGTTCGGAGGGAGGGGTGGGGGGTTCCGTTGATAACAAATATTAATATACATATATTATTTACGACCAACTGTGTGTAATAATTAAATTTATGTATACGTTTTTATTAATTTGTGATATTTTTGATAGCTAACTCATGAACAGGTAAGCACTAAAATTGTCGAAACTTCAACAGATTTTTTTGTAATGTAAAGATGAAGGGAACATTATTTCCATACTATTGGGTAGCTTAAAATTTTGAGCTTACAAAATTGTTGAATTCTTTTTAATATTTTTATTATTTAATTATTAAATTTTATCTGCTTTTTTAAATATCAGTGCAAAGTTCTTAGTTTTATTAGATTGGTGAAAGAATTCAATGTCATGTGGTGTCAAATTGCAAGGATATTCTTGACTTCCAAAAGAAAATAATTGCAGTATTTGTTAAACAACTCAACTTACCTAATATAGTAAGGAATGTGTTGAAGCTAGCTGATCCATACGGATTGCTCGCTCTACATTGATAGAAGCCAGCGTCGGCTGTTTCTGAATACTGTATATTTATGGTGCTGGTTACACCGAGCGAGGTTTTCGTCTCTGAGTGTTTTGCTCTGTGGATAATTTAACTCTTAATTGATACGATTTCTTTGAAGATTAATGAGCGATATATGTACATTTATGAAAGAGCATTTTTATTTGTTTTGATGATTAGATTTTATACTACCTACTATCATTACGACCTAGTGTTTATTGAAATTTAATACTGCTAAAAATTCATTGAACCAAAAGTATTTTATTTTGGATTTTCATTTTATACATACTTATGTGAAATATTTTTGAATTATAGATTCTTCGATTATTTTAGACTTCTTCATCTGAAGTTTTTTCCTTTTTTAGATAAAAAGCTAATGTCAAAAATTGGAACATTATGCCATACCTGTGACTTTGGAAGTCTATATTGTTTCCATTATGGTTCCATGTGATTCTGATAGGGTCATCACCAAGCGCGCGACATTCCAAAGAGACGGCGTGGCCAAGTCCTGATGTCACATTAGCTGATGCCGTGTCAAAGTGCACTGGTTCTAAAATATTATACATACATACGTTATCTTATAAACAATAAGTAAATAGGTTAGGGTATAGGGAAAAAATTAGCGATGTTGCTCATGATTTCAAATGCTTATCAAAATTCAAAATAAAACATTTAGTTTTCAAAAATATTCTAATAAATAAAAGTAAAAATACATGAATCTGCGGTAGCTCATGATAAGGACATAGTGAATTGACGTTGGCACAATTTAATCATCACATGAAAATAAAAATCTTACTCTCTATATAAATTACATACTATTGACTGTCATCGAGACGGTTTTGCTCAATGGTGTTCCAACACCATTTTCCACATTACACGAATACAAGCCCTCGTCTGTCAAAGAAACTTCTTCAATGACAAGACTTCCGTTGGGAAGACTTAGGATTCCTCCTCCAGCTAGTTCAAGGACAGGTTGCCAAGTACCCAGAAGAGCTGGTAAAAAATGGAATATATATCAATTCACTTTAATATACCGAGATCAAATATTACTGTTTTTTTGTACCATCTTTTTTCATCCAATGTACTTGTGGTTGTGGATAGCCGCTCGCACTGCATGATACAATGCCTTTTCTTCCGAGCAAGAGAGACGAATTGAAACAAGGAAAAATAGTTACAAAATTCATAATTTTTATATAACTTTTATATTGCCTTAATTTCTTTGTGTATAAATTCTGTGTGTGTAACACGTAATATTTGTCAATTCAATAAGCAGAATGATTATTTTGGCAATTTGCAGAGCAGTAATAAATGAAGCACAATATGAAAAATTTACCTTTGATATACAATTCCGTAGACTTATTGACCTTCGCTACGTGGTTGGATGCCACGCAAGTATATGTACCACAATGTTCCAATGCAACTTTCTTGATCTCTAGTGCACTGAATAATTCCGAACTTCTTTCGACTACCTGAACATAACTTAGTTGAATTTTATTTTCATTTACAATCAAGTAATTGACTAATTTCTATATGAGTAATTTGATGTAAAAAGCGCTTTATACGCTTTTAATCAAATATTCATTCCATTAGTTCAATAGCATTGATGTGTATTGCAATTAATTCTATTGAAATGTCCCTTTGAGTTGACGCATACATTTAATTCAGTGCTAATATTTTAAACCGTTACAAATATATAGATTTATTTATAAAAACTTTTTATAATCCATATAAAAAGTTTTTATAAATAAATCTACAATCTACTATACATAAACAAAAACAAATCTCTCAGAACAATTATTATAAAGTGCAGAATTCTCGAATATACCTTCAAATTGCTTGAAATTCTCTTTCCGTCTTTCAACCATTCGAAATGTATCGGTAAATCACCGCTTCGTACGTTGCAATAAATATTTACTATTTGACCTTCCTGTAGGTTATTACCAAGCAGTAAATCCTCCAAAATAGGTGCCTCTATAACTTGTATTTCAAACGAACGTTTCACCAGACGGTGATGTCACTATACAAGTATAAACAGCACCATTATCTTCTTTATTTACTTCACAGGAATTGTCAATACTCCGTGTATATTGACAATACTTCTTCTTGATTTTCTTTTCTGGTGATTTTGTGTTCTTTTATAACGTGATTGAAAAAGATTGTTTAGGTTAACTGTTTTGCCTTTGTGTTCCCAATCGATTTTGCTATAATCAGAGAGAGATAGAATTCATTTTATTAAATATAAGTCATCGAATAGATATAAAATGTGTCTTAAATATATTTTTAACATAACATAAGTTCAAAGAACTAAACTTTTCGATTAGTTTTGGTTTAGTTTGAAAGAAACAAGAGCATAAAGCGAGTGTATCTTGTTATTAAATGACGTATTCAAATTGCTAAACGGCGTCACAATGACAGTTGGAAATTAATTACCAAAGAATAGACGGCATAAAACTCTAAGTAAGAATGAATATAATACTTTCGTGAGTATTCATTTAAATGAAACTAATAACTTCGGATTAATAACTAACATCTCGTCTCTCTTGATCACTTTTGCCGCAAAGTAACCTAAACGTCGGAATACATAATTTTTAAATATTTATAATAAAATACTCGTAGTAATCCACGAAATATATAGAGTTTTATTTTGTTGTTTTAAAGAAGTATAAAGTTTATGCTGGATATAAACTCGGAATAGCTTTACAAGATAGCACTGACGCGGAATTGCATTTGGAAACGGAATGTCATGCGGTCTCTGTGTGATTGGCACGATCTTATCTAGCTAATTGGTTTTAATTTTGGGGATAAATTTCTTTGAACGATTTAAAAACTTTATGATATTTTCATGAAAAGTAATTATTCATGGATTAATTTGTTTAAACGCCAGAAAAAAAATTTTTAAAACCTAAAGTATCTTCCATCTAATAATCAAAAAAATTGAAATATTTAGCATTGACAAGAGTTATTTTCTTAAAAGTTTTTAAAATTAGATTCATACGGGGCAACTATATTGTAAATAGAACGAAATTTAGGACAAGTCAAAAGACACCTAAAAAGTATCAGATTAAAGAAATAGCTTAGAAATATGCTATACCTAGGATATGTGTTGCTTGAAACAGTAACTCCATCTCGCTCCCAAACAAACTGAGGAGGTCTATCACCAGTGGCGGCATATTGCATACATATCTGAAAATAAGGTAATAATAAATCAAATAGCAATAAGATATACTATAAAAATGACCAGAACAATTCAACATATGTAAAATCATTTTCCAATAAATAAAATATGAAAACAAAACATGACTACATGCAACAAGCTAGGAATTTTCCTTTGTGCAGCAATTTGCTACTGATGTTGTGATTTTGACGTGGGATATTTTGAATAAATATTATATTTTTAATATTTACAATTTAGTTTGGGTTTTATGGAGAAAATGATTAAATAACTTACATCGCCACCGGGTGTAACGGTTCTCTCAGTAAAATGTTGGGTTATAACCAGCCTATTATGAGTGAGAGCTCGACGTAATCTTCTTTTATCTAAATCTGAACAAAAATACGTTTCACATTAGAAAGAAATACGAAAATTTTTCTCTTTTTTACTCCTACATGATTTGAATATATAAAATTCTTCTATATCAGTTATGGAGATCATATTTTTTATATACCAACATGCATGCGGATTTAAGTTAAGGAATCCTGTGATGTTAAAATATGGTTTCATTAAAGCAATAATTTTAACATGATGACGAGGATAATTATATGACGTTATGATGTAGCAAAATTTGTTTGTAAAGAAACAGAAAGCTTCAAACTAATCCTAACTGAAGACTACGTTATTTTTCTTGGGCTTTTGTGTGTGTGATGGTATGTGTGTATGTGTGCGTTTGATGGTATTTGTGCGTGTGTGTGCGTTTCTGTTTTGTGTGTATGCATGTACATATGCACGGGCATGTGTATGCGTAATGAGTGTATATTTTGTAATTCCCACTTTAAACAAAATGCAGTTGAAAAAGGACAACTATCCCTAGCAGACACTCTATTTACGGAATGGAAATTACCATCCAAGTTGATTTGATTCCAAAGCTGTTAGGTCCAATGTTATTAACTGGCTCATTAACCGTTACACGAATCTGTCCGGGATATAATTATTCTGGGTCGAATTGCAATTTGCTCTCCGTCTGGGAGACGATGTTTGGATTACAATAATTGAATTGGCCGTTTTTAACAGAAACAAAATCTTGTGCTAAATGAAAATAAGTAGCTTTTTAATTAATGTTATTCTTAATAATATATTATAGTTAATGAATTGATCAGAATACAATCGTATTGCATTGCATTGTATTCAGATTGAAGACAAGAGAAATCGGCTTAAAAATAATAATTTCTTAATATGGCAATTTTATTATATGTGACGTGATTTTTACATTATTGGTTTATATTTTAATATAATTAAACGCATTGTACGTGTAACGAACTTATAATCTTAATATATTTCATATCACTACTTAAATCTTCTATTTGGATAAAGCCTTTAATAGTTTTTTCATAAATATTATTGAATGTTGACTCTTCAACTTTTTATAATCCATAGAATGTTTTATTAACATTTAATTTCTATTGACGTATTTACAAAGCACTTTGTTGGTTGGGTAGAAAGGGGAGCTTGAACGGTGGAGATGAGCGTTCAACGCGCGTTATATAGGGCCCTCTTAAACCTACACCTGGGTCGCAAGTCCCAGGCACTGTTGAAGCTTGTCTCACTACAACAATAGACCTGCACCCGAACGGTGAATACATTGAATGCTATGTTTCGTCTTATAATATTGTCATTATTTTCGGAACACATATAAAAACAAAAAAATTAAACACCGTTTAGGCGTTCTGATAATTATGGCTATTAAATTTAAAGACATAAAAATTGGAAATTATTTCTCTATTTAGCTTTAAAGTATTAAATCCAAATTAATTTCTAATCCTAGAATGAAATCGTTCTGCCGATAAGATCTGAACAACTAATTATATTACCAAAGTTAGCGTTTCGGTCTAATGGATTCTTGATATTAAAATAATTGATAGATAATGGTTCAACTAATCCTTCAATATGAATAATATACTTCAATATTATAAAATATTTTAATAAAATACGAAACAATTTGTATACTATATACATATATAACGCCTTATAATCTTTATATGTACATATATAAAAAAGTCGTGTTAGTTACACTATTTATAACTCAAGAACGGCTGTACGGGTTTGGCTGAAATTGCTGGAGAGATAACTTAGAACAAGGGACAGGATATAGTATACTTTCATCCGATTGAAAAAGAAAAAAAAAAGTTTATCAAATCCAAAATCTTCTTATCTACTGTCTTTAAGGTAGAATAGACTTCGCCGGTTAGCTATACATTCCTTATTCTGAAACTAACGCAGACGAAGTTGAAGGCAAAAACTAGTAAAATATAAATACTATTTACATAATACGTATATTACATTACTTAGATTACAATTATTCTTTCAGCGGTAGTATATGTATGAAATAGAAATATACAATAAATTCCAAAGTAAGATATTTCAGACGATCTTTTCAGAATAGCAAATAAATAACAGTCATAAACAATCTGTTCGTGACGTTGTCAGTATGGAGAGGCGTTTACGGTGAAGGGTGCAATATGTCCAAATAATTCCCCTTACATTGTTTTGCGAAATATTATTCTTAATACAATTGAATATCTTTAAAATATTATTTTTAATATTATAGCAGTAAAAGTAATTTTAATAATGAGAGGCTAATTTATATTGAATAATAATAGTTTACATTGAAACCTGACATTATACCTTGAATTTATCTGATTCATTAATATTACGTATTTCATTAAGAATTGATGACTCTTTATTAATAGAATGTGCTCTTTTTTGTGGTTAAAATCAGTTATAATTAGGTTTTCACTGATATATGCGAATAATACGTTGTCTGCGCTTAATCTTTCGTATTCTTGAGCGATAAAAAACATTCTACTCATTTGTACATGTTTGTGACACGATAAATAATAAAGTATAATTCAATACGATTTTCTGAAATCTTGATTCATACGACCTACTTCTTTCACAAAAGAAAAGCAGTCTATTTCATACAAAAAAATCCAAAGTCAACTGAGATAAGTCGGTTTTATGCGACTGGAGTATCGCAAATAAATGGTGACTATAAATTATCTGCTGGTGACAACGGTTACATTGAGTGATCTCTATATAAAAGACTTCATTGACACATATATATTGCTTTTATAAACTTTGTATTTGTTATATTCAATATCATGTTACTGTTTATTATATACAATGTGTATGAATTCTATCTAAAAATCATAATTATATTAGTTTTTTATTTAATATTTTCATAGTATAGGTTTTCGTTAATTTATAGTTAGTTTGTTTTCATTGTCAGCTTAAACTATTAACATTTCAAGGCTTTGTTTAGCAAATGCATTGTGTAAGAAGTATTATTTATGAGAAACTTTCAAACCGAACGTACCTAACAGACTCACGTTATTTAGTTTGACAATAGTAATTGAATCTTGAGACGGGTTAGTTCCACTTTATTTCAGCTTTAACAAAGTTTATTGGTGAAAGAGAAATATGAGGATAGGCTGTTAAAAATACAGGAGTACATTCTTATTATGAGTTTTATGTTCAAAACTATAGTCAGTTTGGTAAACTATGTACAATCAACTAAATAATAATAATGCCCACACATAATAGTGTAAGTGGTGGTGGCCTGAAGGTTAAGGGCCCGCCTCTAATGCATGAGAGTGTAGGTTCGATACCTGGCAACTACCAATGTAACTTGCGGGTTATTTATGCTTTTTAAGAGTATTGAAATACCACTGACATGCAGTGACGGAAAAAATCGTGAGGAAACTTGGACTTATAATTTCCAATTATACGTTTGAAATCACCATTTCTCCATTGAGAAGAGGCCTAGTTTGGTAAAAGGTTTCGAATAGTGTAAAAGCAGATTGTTTCATCTACTGTTGCAATATCAATTGTTATTAATAACGTGATGTATTTGAAATTGTTTACAATATATTCAACTTTCAAGCAAGTGGATGTGAGGGTAAGAGTTAGTGGGTCATAACAAACTAAACTTTGTAGTTAAGTAGAACCCGAACGCTTTTGTCGTCAATGTAGGTTATGTTATCGATGCTAACCCTTTGTGATTTATCGTTTCTATGTACGAATTAGTTAAATAATTCCTTTGAGTAAATTTAATTAATACCTACATATCCTCTTTATATTTTTTATTTGGATGTTTACGCATTCACAGAACATAATATATATCGTGATTTAATATAAAAATATATAATAGTGTCTAAAAATATGCCTGCAGTCTGTTTGAGGTAGAATTTCGATGTTTAAAATTATTTACAAATTTAACGGATACTGTGAAATTCTATGCTATTACTAAATGTTTTTGAGTCATTAATAAAATCTAAGAAACACTTTTGTTAAATTGAATTTAAATAATAAAAACGTTATTAAAATGGTGTAAATGAAATTTGTAACTTACGTTTTAGTGAATGTCGCTGATTTGTTCCAAATAGTGCTTTGGTTGTAGATCTGGAAAAAGAGAAAACACATTAATATATTAATTAAGGACATCTAAGTATTAATTTAAATGAAACTAATATTTTCGAGAGAATGAGTGGCTTAACTCGTCTGCCCGGGATCACGGTCGCTGTAAAATAATCGAAATGTCAGGTAATTTAGCTAATATAATTAAATAACGGGTAGTAATAAAAAAATGAGTGCGTACAAAGTACATTGCCAGAAGTGAAATTTCTTTGGCGAACTATTTTATAAATCTTGTTTATATTTATATAAATCTAAAACGTTATACGACATTCGCTCTGTCTCATTTTTTCTCTCAGAACATACTTTTTATTGAATGGACTCCACTTGGTCGCTATTGTTACAAGCAAGACTGACCAACTTACTAAACGATTCTTTCATTACAATCATAAAAGTAAAGTTTTACCAAAAACTTTAACGAAAATTACCTGCTAATCAAGCTACTTTAATCATTTGAAATTTAAAGTACACTTTATTTGATCTAATCTCACTTTACAAATTAAAGTTTTCAGTATTCTCAAGTAAAATCAAAAGACATTGTTCAGTCAACACAAATGTTTGACAATAGATTAAAGTCGAACTTTTGACATTGAATGAGAAAAGTTTATCTTACAGTCGCAGACCAGTATTACTCTCTAGAGATATAGTTTTCGCAATTCAGTAACACAACGACAAATTCATTGATTGATCAATCGATTAAATAACTCTTATAGTACCATAGCGGTTCTCTGAGTATATTAAAAATAGAAACAGCTGTTATGATTACTTTATTGTAATTAAATATATTTTGAGATAACTGCTTAAATTTCAAAGGATGTTTTGAATATTAACCCTATAATTGAAAAAGTGTAATCTATAGTAGACTAAATATCCAGCTATAAATGTTTATTCCAATTAACTTTTAAGTTATGATTATTTGATAATTAAAATGCTACACGGTCAGTGGTTGCAGATAATGGCGCCTCAATATTAGTCTGCCTTACCTAGACATTAGCCTTTAATATTCCAGTTTTCCGCTGTTGGCA